ATATATATATAAAAGTTACACTTGCGTAATGTGTGTGTGTCTATATATATATATATAAAAAGAAGAGGAAACGTGTAGAAAAAGGGGAGGGTGATAGAAGTTTGAGTTTTCTTTGAAATTAAATTGTTAGTAAAATTAGGGATTTTAATTCCTCTTGAGATTAGAAGATCAGTCAAAATAAATTAAATCATAACAAATCCAATTCAAATGGTAGATTTAATTTTAAATTTTGAAATAAAAAAAATAGAGAAAAGACAATAATCTCAAAATAAATTCAGAATATTAAATACCTAAAATTTAAAGTGCACAAATTGGGCCCCTCTATGGTCCTTTAGTTCAAAAAGATGAGCCCATTGTCTCATAAAACCATATGGTGATTAAATACAATGTTCAAATCCCAAATTCAAATCAAAAAATCTCAACACCAAATTCAAAAAGGATCCTTTTAATTCCTCATAAGGTCATATACCGGGGAATTATCCAAATACAACTCTCAAATCCAAACTCTAAAGAAAATTCTAAATCGAATTTTAAAACATCTTTTAATTCCCCATAAGGTCATATACTAGGAAATTATCCAGATATAACTTTCAAATCCAAACTCTAAAGTAAAATTCCAAATCAAATTTTAAAACATCTATGAATCCCTCCTATGGTCATATATCGGGAATTCTCCAAAATCCAAATCCAACTCAAGAACTACGATTGACTTGATTCCCTATGGGATACGTAGGCAACCTAAAATCTAGGTGCAGCTTCAAGATCAAATTCAATTCTAAAATTCTCATAAAAGATAAAATCAATACAAAACCAAATCAAATTTCAAAGTGCGTCAATTCCTCATAAGGTCATACACCGAGGAATTATCCAAAATTCTCAAACCCAAAATTCGAACTACAAGTGGCTTGATCCCTTAACAGGGTATGTAGGCAGCTCGACAAAATTTCCTGAGTTCAGCCGCAATTTTAAATCAACCTAAATTTTCCAAATTCATAGAAAATAAAATTTGCTGTTTTAACTGGAATCAAAAGGTCTTCCCTTGTACCAATGGATTGTAATTAAGAGGTTATTCTTATAATCTTGGATGGGTCGAACTAAAAATAATAAACTCATATTCTAGTTAAATCCTAGAATAGGTGAAATTATGTTGTATGTGAAATATTATTTCAACATTAATAAATATTTTCACTCAACATGGTCAAGGTCAAGCGCCCATTTAGAACAAATTTAATGCATACAAAGCTCATAAAGTAACACATGAAATAAATTAATTTTAATAACTAATTTTCCGGTGTTAAATTTCATGATGAAGGAATAACTATTAGACATTTTTACTTCAAGAAAAGGGCTAACTACACTAGACAAAACAAAAGGTTCTGTTATATAGTGTTGCAGATCAATTTTTCCGTCAAAATTTTCTCGCGTGTTCTAATTGTTGCGAGACAAATTAGATCTTTTGTGCTTTAAAAGTTTGATGATTGTTAGAGGCGTGCAACCAAATCAAACAACTTATTTTAGGTCAAGTGCAAACCAAACTAATTATAGATTAGTTTTGAGATTTTCAAATCAAACCAAACCATTTTAATGATCAGATCCAAATCAAACCAAAATAATTACAATTAATTTGTTTTGTTTTTTTAATTGGTTTAAACTAATATTATTCATTTCGTTCTCGACCATAACTAAAACTAAAACTTTATTATAATAAACATTCATTTATTACTCAATCATAAATATCCATAACTGAATAGATAAATACTCAATTCATAACATAAATAAACCATCTAATGTCAGAAATTAATCATGCATAATAAAAATAAAATATTTAAATATGACAGATAAACATACTTCCAAACTGATTTATTATAGAGTAGTAAAAGCATAATTCCACATAATAAAATAACTAATTATATTTTGAAAATGTATAAAATACATATAATTGCTCAAAATATATACAAATAAAGTTAGTTTGGTTTGGTTTGATTTTTTTAAGAGTAAAATCACAAACTAAACCAACTTAGTTTTTTTTTTTTTTTTTTTTTAAATTCAAACTAAACTAAATTGATTATTAATTGGTTTGATTTGGTTTTGTTTTGGATGAGTCAGTTTGGTTGGTTCGGATAGTTTGATCTATACCTTAATGGTTGTCTCTCAATAATTGCTTGTCGTTGGAAAACTTTGACCTTTTGTGATTTATTGGCTGATATCCGTAGTAGGGGGGGCAAGTTGAAACTTGTGCTATTAGTATTTAGTCAATTTCATATCTAACAATTTGGTCAAGTGAGCAACAATGAAAGTTCTGTCAACATATTATATGGGCTCGCTTAAATAGAATTTTTAAGTGAAAAATAATATCTTATTATAGCATTGTTCATTTCTAGTCAATAATTACATTCAATGAGGTACCTTAAAAACCCAGACTCAACACCCTGAACTTAATTCCCTCAAGCTTAAAGCATATCTCAAGCTCAACACTTCAGACCTATGGAACTCTCAACTCGGTGCATTTGGGCCAGGTACTCAAGGACCGAGGGGTGCAAATCAAGGCCCAACCTCAAGCCTTTTCCTTTCACATGGGAAAAAGAGAAAATTATCACGTCAATAATCTTACGAGGTGCGGATTGCTAACGAAGGAGGCAAAAGATTACGTCCGAAAATGAGCGAGAAAAATAGAAGGAGAAGACGTGGGTTGGATGGTTATTCCCACGAAGGTGCGGTTACTTGAGAAAGCCAGCCTACCTACATATGCATAAAAGGAAGAGGAAGGAGGAGTCCGAAAAATTGAGTCATATAAGAGAAAATTAATAAAAATTCATTTCTTCACTTATAGTTTTTTTTTTTTTTTTTTTTTTTTTTTTTTTTTTTTTTTTTTTGTTTTTCCTTTCCGATTCTTGTTGTCGGTGAAAATCTACTGTCAACAATTGCTAATACTTTTGATTATCACATAACAAAAGAATGACACTAAATTGGTTGGTGGCCATTTCTTTTCTTATTTGGGTGTCATTTTAGGCTTCGTTCAGTTCACGAATTTGAATTGAAATGTGATTTTATGTGAGAATTTTTTACTGCAACACAACAAAACTAAAATTAAAAACTCAAATTAGTAAAATACATCTAAGGTGATTCATATCATTTAGGAGCTCATGTGTTGAAATTTTAATGACTTGTCAATATTTTAGGGGAAAAAAACAAACGAGACAACAAAAATGAGATAATAGATTTTTCGCTAAATCACTTAATCTAAGATACGGTCTTTGTTTTCCTGTAGCCGAGTTGACTTTGGATGAACTATATATTGATTTTTGTTTTTTGCTTAACTAGGCTTTACATCTCAAATATTTTCACACTACATGGCCATGAACATATTTGGGGTAGATACCATATTACTTTAAAAAACTATGTAACTAATGTATTATAATCGTTTTATCCTTCAAATTAACTTTCAATAGAAGTTCACTAATGTTAATTTACACTATTTTTTTCCGATGGAGAAACCGACTAATGAAATATGTGTTTCTGCCGACATTTTTCAAAATGTGTAATCGAATAATCTCCTCAGAGTTAAGGCTAAAATTATGCCCAAGAGGATACATAAAACATGTTATGAGATTGTAAATTAATGTTCATATTATTTGGCAACGCATCCAAAGTTGAAATAACTGTCGAAGGTTGTCATGCTAATCATCAACAAACAAACAGACGTTGAAACTGTCGAAGGCTTCATCCTTAGATATTAATGCTGAATTACTCATCCGATTAAGACACTGTTAATTTAATCGATTTGAATTTAAAATTTAATTTTTATTACAGTAAAATTTTTTTAAGAATAATCATATTTAATTTTTTTATTATAATAAAAAAATTTTACATAAAATCATAACTTAACTCAAATTAAAATTTTAAATCAACAAACTAAACATTCACTAAATGTCGTGTCATAAGTCTCACTCGTTATTAACACGTTTCTACGCCATTTTGGTCCACAGTATTGTTCTACGGAGTTAAGACACTCTACACGCCATTAATTGTCCACAGTATTGTTCTAGGCGGGTGATGACGACAGCATTAAATGCCCTTCAACTAACTTTCCAAAATTGGAGAAAGACGAGCCGCCAACAGCACCACCGGCGCCACTACCGCCACTACTGCTACTTGCGGCCTCCTCCGCCAATCTCTTCCACTTCTCCACTCTCCTCTTCATCTCTCTCCCTTTCTCTCCATCCATCAACTCCCTCACAATCCTCTCTATCTCCTCCCTCTTCGCATCACCATCTATCTCCATCCCTATCCCCCACTCTCCGCAACTGTACCAACAGTTCGTCTGCTGCTCCGCAAAGAACGGCCAGCACAGCATCGGAACTCCGCTGCATATACTCTCGATCGTCGAGTTCCAGCCGCAGTGCGTCAAGAACCCTCCCACCGCCGGATGGCCCAGAACTTTCTCCTGCGGACACCAGCTCGTCAAGAACCCTCTCTCGCTCGTCTCCTCGGAGAACTCCGGCGGCAGAACCGCACTCTCCCCGGCGACGAGATCAGGCCTTAGGACCCAAAGAAACTCCTTCTTGCTGTTCGCCAGCCCCCATGCGAACTCCACCAGCTGCTCCGATGTCATGACCGTTATGCTTCCGAAGTTGACATAAACGACGGAGTTCGGTTCCTTCGAGTCCAGCCACTCCAGGCATTTGTGGTCTTCTTTCCATAAGTTTGATTCGAGGGATTTCAAGTGTTCCGTTATGGGGAATTGGTTGAGGAGGAGCTGAAGGGAGCCGAGGGTGTAGACCGGTGGTTTTGAGATCGACGACATCGCGTTTACGGCGTCGCGTTCTAGGTCGTAGAAGGTGTTTAAGATTATCGCTGAAGCTTTTTGAGCCCTCTCGGCTTCGGTGATGACGAAGTTGACCATGATGTCGTTTGGGTCGGTTGTTCTGATGAAGGTTGGGATGTCCTTGAGACGAATGTCTTTCATGCCTGGAATCCAGTCTATCACGGTGTTCAGATACTCGTTGGTAAGGTAACTCTCATCTGCCGATCAGTAAAATCCAGAAATTAATCATATATAACCGATCAGTATACCAAACTATTTACAAAAAACAAAAAAAGAAAAAGAATAGTATAATCGTAGACTCCTCTGATTAAAAAAAATGGAAATTCGTGCACAAATATCTCATCCGAATTAATATATGCATTTTAATCAATCGTTACATTCTAACTAATACTGATTTTCACCACTGATCCGAAGTTGAAAATCACTAATATATATCACGACAAGCAGCTTAGCCGCAAAACTAGAAAATTAATAAAAAATATGGATAAAGGATTAAGACGGTAATTTGTTTCCTAATGATCGTTAATAATAAACTATACCTTTAAGAGGCGTATAACCCTTTTCCACGAGTGCTCTGTAATGGAGGTATCCCAAGAAGCCACAAGCACTTGTCGTCCAGAAAAGAACCTCCGGGATGCCGAGCTCCTCGGCGGCGTCGAGAGTGAAGCTCATGGCGCCGTCGGAGACGACGCAGCTCACCGGAGGCACTTCCGGCGAGGAGTTAAGCTTAAGAAGGAGGTCTCTGAAGGGAGCCAAGCTGTGCTTGGGCGTGGATTCGCAGATAGCCGGAATGGACTGCGTGGCATCGGCGTCGGTGGGAGGGAGGCCGTCTGGGATGGCCTCGAATCGGAACGAGGGAAGGCCGTCGAGGGCGTGAGCGCCGCGGGACTTGAGGAGGCGTTTGTGGTTGAACTCAGTGTTGACGAAGGTGATGTGGAAGCCCTTGGAGTGGAGGAGCTTGGCGAGTTTCAGCATGGGGTTTACGTGGCCCTGAGCTGGGAACGGTATGCAAACTGCGTGAGGTTTTTCTAGAAAGGAAAGGGAACCCATTTTTTTATGGCAAATATATATATGGATGGCTGTATTTTGCTCTTTCTTCTGTTTTTGGGTTTAGAAATGAGGAGAAAATGAGATGGATTGTGTTGTGCTTATGGGGGAGTGGCTTGTCTTTGGTTTTATAGAGGGGAGGGGAAGAGGAGGCCAAACCGCCAGTGTAAAAGTTTTTGTACCTTTTTAGTTGGAATCGATTGATTTCTTTTCTTTTTTGGATTAATATAATATTGTAATCTAGTTTTACAAGTCAAATAATTCACGCTTCCATTGATGACGTTTAGTTCATGGATTAGAATCATAAAATTAGAATTATTTTTGATTTATGTGTATTTTTTGTGAGAGAAAATACTGCAGCGAACCATGAATCATGATTCGAATCGGGGTATGAATCCCCCAACCAAACAACCCCAAAGTGATTTGAATCATGGTTCATAGTTTGTTACAGTATTTTTTCTCATAAAAAATACACGTAAATCAAAAATAATTCTAATTTCATGATTCTAATCTATAAACCAAACGTCTCCTTAATTACCTAACAGACATGCCGAGTTTTTGGATTACAGCGCGTTTGGTTAATGTGAATGATAATTGAATAAAATAAAAAAGAAACATGATTCATTTATTTAGTTCTATTTTTATAAATATAATATAATGAAATATGAATATTTTTATGCTGATAAAATTATTCCTCGTGTTAATATAATTGATATTATATATATTAATATAATAATTAAATAAATAATATTGTATATATAAAATTATAAGTATATAATATATATTTACAATTATAGTTATATAATTATTTATTTGTATAATACAATCATAATATATAATATAAAATGATATATAATATAACAAAATAATGATATTGTGATTATTTTATATTATAATATTACAACTATACTATATTATATTATTAAAAATATAGTATAATTATAAAATGTAACAATATAATATAATATAACATATTATAATTATAATATATAATATAGTATATTGTCATTATTTATATTAAAAATACTACTATCCCAATTATTGTTATAATTATTAATTACAATGTCACAACTATATTATATTTTATTATATTATCTTATCTTATAATGATAAATATAAATATATAATTATTATTAATTACAATATCATAATTATATTGTATATTAAATTATATTATAATTATAAATATAATTAAAATGTATAATACATAATATAAGATATTATTATAATATTAAATATGATATATTATCATATACGTATATAATTATAATATATTACCTTACATGTTATAAGATATAATTACATTATAATATAAATTATTATAATATAATATTAATTATATTTTAAGTATTAATATAATAAAATTTATAGTTATAATATTCAAAGGTAATTATGAAAAAAAAAAATTAAAAGAGCTTGGACTGAACATTTCTCTCGTGTGAGAAATGAGTGATGATTCACCCATTTAATAGAAAAACCATTCTATTTTAAATGATCATTCTTTTTTTTTTTTAAACTAACTAAATATAATAATAAACATTGATTTCTTTCTATCCCCCCAAACACAGTGGAAATATCAACTGTCCTTTATCCTTTGATAAGATATGATTTATATCATATTTTTTTATGACTAAATTATTTCAGATGTGAAAGAAATAATGTTACAATAGAAAGCTCTTTGTTATGGCTGTTTCTTTCGTTTTTTGCCTGACGAAAACGGTGACTTATTAATTGGCAGATATCCTGATCCTGATAAGATAAAGGGCCCGTTCACTTCGCTGATTTGAGTTTGTAATTCGAGTTGAGATGTGATTTTGTGTGAGAGCTTTTTACTGTAGCAAAAAAGTTAAATGTGACTGTTTCTGAGAGCTTTTTACTGTAGCAAAACTTGAATTTTAAACTCGAATCAGCGAAATGAACGAGGCCAAAATATATGGCTGGCTGTTGACGAAGTCAACTACATCAACTAGATTAACAAGCCATTATTTATAAATATTTAAGGGAAATAAATAAAATAAAAACTTTTCTTGTTGACGAGGCAAGCTGTGAACAAATACTGCAATATATTAATCAAAGGCAAGGAGCCAAAAGGAGATTGGTTTTCCTCAGAGAAACCGTCATAAATCAAGTGGGTTGGACAATAATGTAAGAACACTCATTTCCAATTAATATTTCCTGATTCTTAGCAAAATATATATATAAATATATTTCCTGATAAGGAAAGCTCTTTCTTTACGTCTCATCGTCATCGGCGTGGCTCTCTTTCCATTTCAGTATTTGTAGGATTTGTTCAGTTATATTTTAAGTTATAATAATTTAAGCGTAAATTTTAAATTGAATTTGAGTTATAATTTGAGTTTAAATTATAATTTAAGTTATGATTTAAATTAAAAATTTATTTGAGTTTGTATTTTGGTGATCAAAATTTGAATTTATATTTATATAATATTTTAATAAAAATTCAATGGTGATAGAAAATTTTAATAGAGTATATGAGTAGAATTTTATTCGTCTTTTCATTGTGAATGCATAGAAAAAAAATAATCTTAATCAAAATTAAAATAAAAAAGTTATGGTGTTTTTAAGAATAAAAAAAATATTAATCACTAACTTGAGTTTGAGTTTAAGAACTTGAGTTGAAAGAAAAATTTAAACTCATATTTTAACCCAATTCAAGTTAAAACTCGAGTTAAAACTTAAGTTATTAGAATAGCTGAGTCAGCTTGTAATTAATCAGTTTTAGTTCCAATTAGTTGAGATTAGTTGTACAAGTTGTTAGTTAGTTATAACTTATCTTCACAACTTGCGTACTAGTATATAAGCTTATTACTGTATCATTTCTTGAATACACAAGAATTTCAGATTATTTTTTCAGTCGTTTTCTTTCCTTTCTGTCGTTTCCTTGAGATTTTCTCTTCTAACATGGTATCAGAGATCTAATTCTTCTTCTTCGCTTCCGATCCTCTATTTCGCGATTTCAATCCATCTGGTTTCTGATCTCGGTGAATCTCGTCTGTTTCACGATGAATTCATCTGCTTCTGATTTTTCCGCTGGACGATCCGCCATTGATGATCCTTCCAGTGTTTATTTTCTTCATCACTCGGATAATCCAGGCTTGGTTCTTGTTTCGCAGCAATTGACGGGTGACAATTATGCCTCTTGGAGCCGTGCCATGACGATTGCGTTATCTGTGAAGAACAAGCTTGGATTTGTTAATGGTTCAATTGCGAAACTTGATGGTACTGATTCTGTTCTTCTTCACTCCTGGATTCGCAACAACAATGTTGTTATCTCCTGGATTCTCAATTTTGTTTCAAAAGAAATTTCTGCAAGTGTTATCTTCTCTGACTCTGCTCATGAGATCTAGATTGATCTTCGAGATCGTTTCCAGCAAAGTAACAGCCCTCGCATTTTTCAGCTGTGTCGGGAATTGGTCAATCACAAACAAGATCAACACTCTGTTGGTGCTTATTTCACCAAGCTGAAAACCTTATGGGAAGAATTGAGTAATTTTCGCCCAGGCTGTTCATGTGGAAAATGTTCTTGTGGAGGCGTGAAAGCCTTACAGGATTTTTACCAAATGGAGTATGTTATGGCATTTTTGATGGGCCTGAATGATCAGTTCTTTCAAGTTCGCAGTCAAATTCTGCTTCTTGATCCTCTTCCTCCAATCAATAAGGTTTTCTCTCTTATTACTCAAGAGGAGCAATAGAGAAAGATTAATCTTCATCTTTCTGGTGAGAATGCCAACTCCACAATGGCGTTTGCAGCTAAAAGTGATTCTGCTTGTCAAAATTCCAATGCTGGCAATAACAAAATTCACAAGAAGGATAGGCCGTTCTGCACACATTGTAATTTCCATGGGCACACCATTGACAGATGTTATAGACTTCATGGATACCCTCATGGATATAAACAGAAGCCACGTCAACATGCCCCTCAGATTGGTTCTGTTAATCAGGTTGCTGATACTTATGATGGCAAAGCACCTGAACCTGTTGGGAATTTTGTTCAAAATCTCAATGCCAGCCAATATTAGCAATTAATGACCATGATGTCCAGTCACATGACTGCCTTTGTCAACACTGATCAACAACCTCCACTCACGGGTTCTTGTACAACAGGTACACGTTTTTCCATATCTTTGGATCCTTCTTTATCTTCTTCCCGATACTGGATTGTTGACTCGGGCGCGTCTAGACACATATGTTGCTGTGTTGATAGTTTTGTCTCTTTAAAACCTATTTTTCACTCTACGGTTATCTTGCCTAATAATACCACTGTCCGTGTGGAATTTTCTGGTGATGTGCGATTATCATCCACTTTGGTTCTTAAAGATGTGTTATATTTACCAAAGTTCAAGTTCAATCTACTCTCTGTCAATGCCCTCATATGTAATACTGAGATTACAGTGAGTTTCTTTACCCATCATTTTCTCATTCAGGACACCCACAACCAGATGATGATTGGCAAGGGTAATAAAGTGGCTCGTTTATATGTTCTTGATTCCAGCAATGTTCTTTCCTCCAATCAGTGTTTGGTCAATTCTGTATCTACTACAAAAACTGCTCAGTTGTGGCATGACAGACTTGGTCACCCCTCCCGGCAGAAGTTGGAGTCCTTAAAAGACTGTCTACAGCTTGGTCAGATTAAGTGTTAAGATGTTTGCTCTATTTGTCCTTTGGCAAAACAGAGAAGGTTATCTTTTATTCCTCACAACAATAGGTATTCTTCACCCTTTGATCTCATCCACTGCGATATTTGGGGGCCCTATCATATTACCTCTCATACTGGACATAGATTCCTTGTTACTCTTGTTGATGATTGTAGTCGATTTACTTGGGTTTTTCTCCTCAAGAATAAATCAGATGTTGCTACTGTTATTCCCAGATTTTTCAATCTTGTAGAGACTCAATTCAACACTCGAATAAAACTTTTTCGTTCTGACAATGCTAGAGAATTGCACTTTACTGATTTTATTGCTGATAAGGGAGTTCTACATCAATTTTCTTGTATTGAGACACCTCAACAAAACTCTGTTGTTGAGAGGAAGCACCAGCATTTGTTGAATGTGGCTCGTACTCTGTATTTTCAGTCTAGAGTACCATTAGTGTATTGGACTGATTGTATCCTTGCTGCGACATTTTTTATTAACAGGACTCCTTCACGTCTTCTTTTCAATAAGACACCATATGAGACTCTTTATCATTCCTCCTTTGATTACTCTTGCCTGCGTGTTTTTGGTTGCTTGGCTTTTGCATCCACATTAGAGTCCCATCGTCTTAAATTTCATCCCCGGGCTCGTATGTGTGTTTTCCTCGGTTATCCTGTTAGTATGAAAGGCTACAAACTACTTGATGTTCATAGTAAACAAGTGTTTGTTTCTCGCAATGTGGTCTTTCATGAGACAACATTCCCTTTTCATTCTATCACTTCAGCAGCCACCCTTCCAGATCTGTTTCATGATATTGTCTTGCCCAGACCTCAATTTGAGCCCACTACCATTCCCACAGCTCCCGTTTCTAACCTCAACCCTGACACATTATCTTCTTTTGATCCCTCCTCTGCTTCTGCAGATATCTCTGCTCCTCGAAGGTCTACCAGAACCATAAAACCACCCTCCTACCTTTCTGATTATCATTGTAATCTTCTTAATGGCAGTCCTTCTTCCACGACTAGTGAATATCCCATTTCTAATTACTTGACCTATGATTCCTTATCATCCTCTTATAAACACTTTGTCCTCACTGTTTCTACTCATTTTGAACCGCAATTCTACCATCAAGCAATCAAGTATTCTTACTGGCGCGATGCCATGAAAGATGAACTTGCTGCTATGGAACTCAACAACACATGGTCTGTTGTCTCTCTGCCTGTGGGAAAACACACTATTGGATGTAAATGGATTTATAAGATCAAGTATAAGGCTGATAGGTCCATTGAGCGTTACAAAGCTCAGCTTGTGGCCAAAGGATACACACAACAAGAAGGGATGGACTACAGGGATACTTTCTCTCCTGTAGCAAAATTGGTCACTGTCAAAGTGCTTTTGTCCTTAGCTGCATGTAAAAACTAGACAATGGTTCAGTTGGACGTGAATAACGCTTTCCTCAATGGAGATTTGTTTGAGGAAGTCTATATGGACCTGCCGTTGGGATATCATCGTAAGGGGGAGCCTTCCAGCTCGTCCACTAAACTAGCTTGTAAGCTCCATAAATCCATATATGGTCTTAAACAAGCCTCAAGACAATGGTATTCAAAGTTTTCTCAGTCCCTTATCACCTTTGGTTTTAAACAATCCACGTCTGATTATTCTTTGTTTACCAAGGGCTCGGGTGCCTCTTTTGTTGCTCTTTTACTCTATGTTGATGATATAATCATCACTGGTCCATCTTCTGATGTTATTGTTTCTACCAAACAATACTTGAGTAGCCAATTCAAACTTAAGGATCTTGGTCCGCTTAAGTATTTCCTTGGCTTAGAGATTGCTCATTCTTCCAAGGGAATTCTTCTCACACAGAGGCACTATACTCTACAATTACTCGAGGACTCTAGTCTTTTGGCTGCAAAACCAATCAGTGTTCCCATGGATCCCACTGCCAAACTTTCTGCTTCTGATGGTGCCCTCTTAAGTGATCTAACTCAGTATAGGTGTTTAATTGGTAGGCTATTGTATTTGACACTTACTCGGCCTGATATCACGTTCATCGTACACAAGTTGAGTCAGTTTTTAGCTCAACCACGCGAACCTCATCTACAGGCTGCTCATTATCTTCTCCGTTACCTAAAGTCATATCCTGGTCAGGGCTTGTTTTTCTCAGCATCATCTTCTGTTCAACTTAAAGCTTTTGCAGACGCTGACTGGGGTTCTTGCCTTGATACACGGAAGTCTACCACTGGATTTTGTGTTTTCTTGGGGGGATTCGTTGATCTCATAGAAGTCCAAAAAGCAATCCATTGTGTCACGTTCATCAGCTGAGGCAGAGTATCGAGCATTAGCAGCTACCACCAGTGAACTTGTTTGGTTACAACAATTGCTCCAGGATTTCGGTATCATTTCCTCTGGTCCTGTTCTCTTATTTTGTGATAATCAAGCTGCTGTTCATATTGCTAACAACCCCACATTTCATGAACGCACCAAACACATTGAAATAGATTGTCACTTTGTTTGTGACCGCGTTGTTGATGGTTCTATCAAGCTCCTGCCCATCAGAACACATCTTCAGCTGGCTGATGTCTTCACCAAACCACTGCCTACTTCCACTCTTTTTCCTCTTCTTTCCAAGGTGGCTGTCAAGAATGTTTACAGTCCATTTTGGGGGGGAGTATTAGAATAGCTGAGTCAACTTGTAATTAATCAGTTTTAGTTCCAATTAGTTGAGATTAGCTGTACAAGTTGTTAGTTAGTTATAACTTATCTTCACAACTTGCATACTAGTATATAAGCTTGTTACTGTATCATTTCTTGAATACACAAGAATTCCATATTATCTTTCCTTTCTGTCGTTTCCTTGAGATTTTCTCTTCTAACATAAGTTCAAACTCAAATTTTATAAAAGAATATAAACTTAAAAAAACTTCAACTTAAAAACTCAAATTTTAAATTCAAATCGGTGAAATAAATGAACTCTAATCTCACATATAGAACGAAATGATTATTCTACTATTCATGTACTGACAAACGTTCCCAGCAGTCTTTCTTGCTCACAAATACGTGTTAAATTGTAATTAATTACTTTTCTTCAAGGAATGAAAATTCTGTGTCGATTCGAAGTCCAACTAGGCCGAATTAAAGCACGTGGGATGACAGAAACGACTTAGGTAGTCGTTGCCATCGTTGATTTCAACTTTCTTGGGCTGGACCCTTAAGGGGCTTTTTTCTCGTTGCTTGGGTCTTTGGGCTAATTTTCAGTAAATAGTTGGCAGAAAAGGGCCGTTGAAATGAAAGGCCATACCATATAAGACGTTGAAGTAACTCCTAATTTAACCCAGAACATTCTGCATGATTTTATGATTTCTAAACTTTCATATAACTGGCTGATTGAATATGCGCCAGAGAAATGTTTCTTTTGCAATTTAATTAAGGTCATGCAGAAACCTGAATTGATGCATCGATAGTCTATACATAGGGTTTTTTTTTTTTTTGTGCTGAAAAGTTTGTTTCTTTTATTGTGAAATACACATGGAAATATATTCCCAGAGTATCTACAATGCAACGACAAATTAATTTGTCAAAGCAAGATTTTAATATTTGACTAACAAAATCACTCACCAATGCAATGTTGTTTTATATGCAAGTTTACCACAAAATATAGCAAATGCCAAATTTAGTATTTGATGGTTATTAGTTGATATATTATCTTTTTCATTTAATTATTAAAAAAAGGAGATATGATATTTGAAATAACATTATATATTGGAGCATAAAAGAGAATAACACAACAAATATGTTATTTTCACACTTTTTAATTATAAATATAGCATTGATATTAACACATCATTTATACTCACAATAGGACACTTGGGGTAAAGCAATTATTTCGTCAATTAGTCATACGGCGACGGCTCATCTTCCTTTTTCTTTCTCTTTTATTTTTTATTTTTTATTTTTGGATGAAGATCATCTTTGAAAAGAAATGCTATATGCTCTTTCGTAAGGTGATAAGAAACTCAATATTCTCAAAAGTAAATGTACAACAAAATTTTGAATCAAACTCTCAAGTTCAAAATGTATTTGATGTCAATGATTGCAATACTAAATCAGGAAAAAGGAAAGAAAGAAAGAAAACTATAGAAGAGGAACGAAATTCATTTCTTTTGCTTTTTGATTAATTTTATTGACCAACTAGTATTACAATATATACAAGCATCACCAATTACTAAGAGAAACGTGTCTCTCCATAAGCAATATTCACTCACGCAACCGCTGAGCACTGAGAACTAGACGGGTCAAACAATCCCGGCAACATATACTTCCTCCCGTTGACCCCCACCGCATTATAGCTGGCCCCGGTGCTAGAATCCACTAAGGCCTCCCCAGCGTAACCCGGGTACGCCCCTTTGCCGTATAATCCAGGACAAGCCGAAGCCGCCTCGAGCGGCGCGTCAGCCGAGCCGAGATAGTACCCGTTCCCGAAAGGGTTCGTTATAGTTCCGGCCAAAAGACTGGCGATATTTACGATCATGCCATCCACGCCAACGTCGCCGTTTGGCGCTCCCAGAGGTTCCGCCTGTGGGCCATAGATCGGCTGGTGGAAGGGCCACGCGCACTGACCCGGGCACTGAGTTACCGAGTTACCGACCCAGAGGAATGCCAAGTTGCGCCTGTGGTCCGAGCCGTGAAACCCGCAGCTGCTCATGCAAAAGCCCTCCACAGCAACGTCCTGGGCCGTGAGAACCAGAGTCAAGTCGCCGGGTCTCGAGTTAACCCGGTGAGCCAACTCGGAGACCTGGGACCTCGTAAGGTGCTTCCCCAGGGAACATTCCTCGTCCGAGACCTGGTTTGATAAAGAAATTCGTGTCTCTTTTTTGCCGGCTTTTTTCATGTATCTTTGGACGATGTTCCACCAGCGAGAGACTGAGGGCAAGCTTGTCATTTGCGAGTCCTGCAGGGAGAGAAGAAGATCTGCGATAATGGATTTCTGGGTTGGTGAGAATTTGCCGTACCATAGAACGGTAATGGAGAGGTTTCCTTCGAGCAAAACGCCGTTATGGTACGTTAAAGCCATTGGTGGGGGTTGGTATAGCGAGGTTAGCTTTCTCGTGGCAATTGACAAGTTTGTTAACGTTAAGAGGAGGAAAATAATGAGAAGGCAAAAAGTTGATGAACCGGCCATTTTTTCCAAACAAATTTTGAAAAAGGAAAATGTGGAAAATGTTTTTGTTTTTGGTATTTGAGTGAGTGATCAGTGATGTGTGAGTGAGGAGAGGGAGTATGAGTAATATATATATATAT